TTTGCAGCCTGATTGTTGTGCTGCAAACTAAGTGATGGTGTAATATATTCATTTCATTGTTCTAAAAAGTAGTTGTTTTTAAAACCCTCATTTTCACTCATGACCAAGTAATGTTTGCCAGTAAATGATCCTCAACCAGCTAAAAGGCCAGGAGCATCTCTTAGAGAAAACATACTGCAGGCTTTAATTAAGCATTCTACAAAAGCTATTTTCTCATACTACCAAGAAAATGTCTAGGCTGTTTTTACATAGACTTAATGCCACGAAAAGGTGCTAAATAAAATGAATTTAATTTTAAACAAGAACTTTATGTCCTAAGGACAAGATTTGAGTTTCAGGTCTTCTAAAATCTACTAGCCTGCCTGTCAAAAGCAAGTTTACTTTTAGAAAAAATGAATAGCTTCTATTTCTACAGCAATTTTTCCTTCCCATTTCTATGACTTTATCCTGTTTGGCCCACTGTGATGATTTAGATTAGAACATCAGATTTCATACAGAAAGAAGAAATCAAATGAAAAAAAAAAAACCTTGCAATCACTGCAAATATCTCTGGATTATTAAGAAAACCACAGAAATCAGGTAGGGAAATGACTACTAATGGGTATTTACTGAAAGCATTCTCAATGCAGTTTTTTTCAGTATTTCTGTAGGATTTAAACAGACACACATGCTATTTGTGTTTGGGAGGTAAAGATGACTTACTTAAACACTCAGCAGATCAGATGTAAAGCATTCAGTTTTAGCACAGGTCAAATTCTTTTATTTTAAGAGCTGCCATAAACAATTTGATTTAATGAAAATTACCCAAGCCTTGGCAGATGGTACACAGTAATAATAATGAATATATTAGAACAAATTTTGCTACTATCAAGTTCAACTAAATGTAATTCTTCCCATACATTGCTTATATAATATTTTTCACCAATATGAAGATAACAGATTATACACCAAAGGGAAATGTGTGCTAGGTTGGATTTGAAATCAGTTTCATAAGTTAGAGTTGCAGTTCTGCCACTTACCTTTTTGATCAGGGGAAAATTCTTAGCATCAGCGTCACTTTCAGTACTTACCATTCCATCAGTAAAATAATCAATATGAATATGCTTTGAAAACTATAAATCTGCAACTGGAAAGCATTCCCTCCATCAACAAATTGACAATTTAACAACAGTTAATTTTAAATCACATACAGTTTTCCTTACTGTTTCCAACAGTGGCCGGCCAGGCACATGTGTTCCAACATAATTCTTTTGAGAAACCTGAGTATGTTTCCAAAACAGTGACTTCCCTTCTAGTGACTCCAAAGTATTTGGGTTCATGTATGACAATTAGGGACAGGAAAATAAAGCAAGACATCCTGTCTGAGTGTTTTTAATTTTTGTCTCCACCTCCCCCCCAACCCCCCCCCCCCCCCCCCCCGCCTGCTTCTTTTGCATGTGAAATATTCTGGTGTGCTTAACTAAAGGTCTGGATCTTGTTCAAAATAAATGTTTTGCAAGAGTCTGAAATTTTTATCCTAGAAGCATAATATTTAAAATAGAATGAAAGAAAATGAATGATTGCAACTAAGTAGGGTTCTCTTTATTTGTTAAAGGTCAAATACCGTATTACTTGAAATGAATATCTAAATTTGAGGGGTTAATTGTTGCCTAAAATAAGTGACCAACAATGGTGCCTGGGAAATCTCTGTTGTGTAGAAATTTTGTTTATAATAAATAAGTTCAATACAATAAAAATAATTTGCTGTCAACACCTCTACTTTATAGCAGTGAGATGTGGCAGCAGTACACCCCAGAGAAGCTTCAGCTTCCTGCAGGGTAAGAGCTATGCCTAAAATTACAAAAGCTAATTACTTTTTTTTGGTTTTGCTTATTAATGCTGATTGCTATCATAATGTGACCAACTTGTAACAATTACTATATATCTCTGTAGCTGACATTTCCATCATCCCGTCTTGAATGAAAAACAGAAATTTCCACCTCAAGTAATTTCAACCTATCCATTCTGCACCAACTAAAATAAGATTTTTAATAATAGCAAAAGATAATTTGCTAAGAGACAGACTAAACCAAATAAAATCTATAACTTCCTGCTGTAGGCTAATGTATTATTTAAAACATGAAGACTTTTTCACAAAATTCTTCAAAATATTTCATTAATTGAAAATTATGCACAAATTGTATTTCATAGTACATCTTTTTAATTGACTTTAACCTATAAAATACTCATATGCAGTTTCACTACAAAGGAGACTATATATTAATTTTGTATTACCTGAAAAAAGCTGTGTCACTGACTTACAATATCAATTACATATAAACACATTTCAACTATAAATATCCCGTCTGAGCAACATTGTAGGGGTATTTTAAATGAAAAGTAACACTTAAAGACAAAGACTTTTACTTTAGCTTTTTGTTTCTAAATGTACTATCTACAAAATAATTCATGTACAACACTTGCAATGTGCTAGGTACCATTCTAAGCACTTTCCATAAATGAGCATCACTATTTGTGATATATAACTCCTAGCACTGTGCTTTGTTCCTCTATCAGAATCTATTTTTTTATCTTAACAGGATCATTTTATTTCTTAAGTAGTAGATAGGAAAATGAAGAGAAAGAAAGAGGCAAAAATGGGTGAAAGTTACTTGCTAAGTTTGTGATTTAAAATGACCAGATTCATTCTGCTTGTTCTTAATACTTAACAGGCAAACTTTTGTTGTATAAATTCACACTTCCTGTAATGGTTATTTCATCCCCACCCCTCTTTCCCTCCACTGCCATTCCTTCCATACATCTCAGCAAATTGAGTGCATAAATCACACTTAGTACCAAATATTCTGCAAGAAACTAAACCCGTTTTAATGGTTGAAATTTCACTTCAATATAAATCCTATGACACAACAAAAATACATTGTAAAGTGCTTTCACATTCATTCTCTTATTTCAAAATAAGCACCTGTTTTGCTGTAAGGTATAGCCTCCTAGCTGCAGTCAATCAGTGAAGTTAGGAATTTCTTCACTAAGCCATGTATTTGGATAATGTTAAATCTCCAAATAACTACGAATTTATAAATCAGTAATGTGTACTAATATAATGACCATTGGATCTGTATAATCCTCAGGAAGTCAAGGTTTGTTTAAGAATGGTAAGATTTACCCTTTTAAATCTTTGCTTCAATAATGATTAGAATATTGGAAAGTATCAGCAAATTTCTGTGAAAACCCCTTGTTTCAATGAACCAGGGAGTCATGATCAACTATATAATGTTTAATTTTACATCCAAGTTGAAATGGTGTCTTCAGCAGTTAAGCTACAATGTAACATCAGACCAGTTTTCAAGTGTACTTTACAAAGAAAAATAAACCTATTCCTGAAGAGCTGATTATGAATAACGTTTTTGAGTATATAATTATAAATAAATGCAGTTATGTAGCAGTAGTGGTCTCTCTCTCTCTCTCTCTCTCTCTCTCTCTCTCTCTCTCTCTCTCTCTCTCTCTCTCTCTTTCTCTGTGTGTGTGTGTGTGTGTGTGTGTGTTAGGGAAGAGGCTTACAATTTAAAGGGTTTCTGAATTGAATTCTTTAGTAAGCCAAAGCATTCTTTTGTTTTTTTTAATGATCATTCTTCTAGTGTGTCTATGCTGAAAATGTGAGGATTTGTATGGCAAATTCTCTATAGTAAGGGGAGAGAGGGGAGGTGTGGGGGGCTACACCTGCCCTAAATAGGGAGCTTGTTAGGTGACTGTTGTGATCAGTCCCCAACTTGTTCTGCCTGATCAAGCACAGTGGGCAGAGATCCATACACAAAAGCATTCCACAAAACAAGCAAAGCAAAAATCTTCTCTAAACTGACTACTGGAATGAAAACTGCTGGGGTCCATCTCTCCTCTTCACTAGGGAAGGAGTATATTCTTCTATGGAGGCAAAGGGATTGTGGGGACATCATCTTGTCTAGTCATTTCTTGAGAATGGCTCAAGACAGCATTGTATAATTTACTATACAGTGGATTCACTCTAAATTTTGTTTCTTTAAGTCCAACAGCTCCTACTCTTCCTTTACTTCCTCCTGTGGCAAATTAGTCCCTTTAAAAAAAACCTCCCATTGTTGCAGGGTAAGCTGCCCTGGTCATGTCTTCCTCCAACCTCTTTAACTGGTTTTTCTTAAGATTTTCAATTAGGTGTTTTTTAATGCCTTAAAACCTTTGAAACAATATTCATATCCATTATCAAGCTGTCACCACCCATCTTTTGAAAGAGTGGGTGGGGAATTTAAGAAGAAAATGAGGCACAGAAAGTGACTCGCGTGTCACTACCAGTGACAGAGAAAAGGGACATTCATGGTTTTCCACAGTCCTATGTAAAAACAACAAAAAAAAGATCAACACAAAAATACATTCCACAGTCAAATACTTTCTTTTAAAATCACCTGTGGCTTGGGATTATTTATGTTTGCTTCCCTCTCCCCTCCTACCACCTTTCACTCTGGCAATGGGGAATTAACCTTCAAGGCTTCTTTCTTCTGAAAAGTAACAGTGTTATTAGTTTATTGTTACTATTTAATATGTATTCTACAATCTTAATACAATTTCTGCACTTACATACAGACATTTGTAGAAAAGCAACTTTTATCTGTGGATTTAATATTCTACAATATCTTGCTTTGCATTATCATTAGTAATGGGGAGCGAAGTTTGAAACAATGCTTACATTATATGTCCTTTATTTTCTTTATTTTTAATTACTCTTAAGAATTAGAACCTAAGATTAAATGATAATCGGTTCCGTCCACATAAATTTATGGTTAGATAAAAGCTTCGATTTTTTTTGCAAAGATCAAATGACATCTTGAGGATAATTAAAACTGAACTCTACCCTGTATGGCAAATAACACCAATTAACGAGATGCTACTGCCCTTATCCCTAACACAGTGGACAGCAGCGTATCAAGGCACTCATTAAGCAATGTCAATTAGCTTTAGGGAAATTAGTTCTAAAATTACCAACCTCTTTTCGGAGAGTCGAATTTATTGGGGTCACGTCTGGCATAGTCCATTCGCATGTAAGTGGCTTCGTCGTCATCATTGTCGTTGTTGTCAGAATCTGCCCTCTGAGGGGGCCTCGGTACCCGCCCGTGGCGAGGTGGCGGTGGCGGTGGCCGTGGTGCAGCAGCTGCAGCCGCAGCTCCACCAGCCACGTTCTCACCTCCTGCAAGATCAGCAGCTGGGTTTGGGGCTCCAGGATTCGAGCCCCGAGCCATGCTCTGAGCCCGGTTTACTGCCTCGGCCTCAACCACATTAGCAACAGGTTGGAACCAGCGGGTGGAGGCGGAGTCAAATCCAGCAGCGGCCTCCAAGCCCGCGGCGGCTGCGCCCATGCCCGGCGCCGCCGCGAGCGCGGAGGCCGCAGCTATCGCTTGGCCCAAGGCTAAAGGTGGTATGGTTGCCCGAGCAGCCGCCGAGGCTGCGGCAAGGTCTCTCTCCGGGTTGTCAATAGGGAAAGCCGAGACAGCGGCTCTAGCGGCTAAAAAGAAACTTTGAGAGCGGCTTTGTGGGCGTTCACTCTCATGCACTTCCTCCAGCAGCAGTCTAGCTACAGGTGTTGGCTCTGCGCTTCGGCTAGGAGAGAGAGAAATGTCCATACAGCACTCAGAAAAGGGGTCAACTACGTAGATTCGACCTGTTTCAGCATCATAGCGAATGGTACGGTCAGCAAAAGGCACAGGTGGTGTCATTGCTGGATTGAAAATTACTTCAATGTAGTCACCCTCTTCCACATTGGCATTGCTACCTGGAGCACTGACAGGAATAGAAGGATGTGGCCACCTAGCACCATCCAGAGAGAAGGGGTTGGCACCTGGTATAGCTCTTAAAAGATCTGAGAGGCGACTTGCTGGATTTGGAAATGGCACTCCAAGTCGAACACTGAAATAATTTGAAAAAGCTGAGTGTCTGGGGCCAGCAATTATGCCCCACGAATTTGGCAGTGCTTGAGCAAAAGGGGCTGGCAAATTCCTATCTCTTTTAGTGAAGTCAATGTTGACATAAGCACTGGCCCTGTCAGTTTCTCTCAGCTCACGTGTGGACTTTTGTGGTTTGGGCTTGATTTTATTTCCTTTTGTAATAAAAGAAAGACGGCTTGGTCTCTTAGCCTTGTTTTGAGGGGGCTCATCATCTGAAGGTTTTAAAGATGACCCCCCATCTCTAGGCTTTGAGAATGACCCTTGAGCTGAAGGTTTTGAAGGTGCATCTTTGGGCCCCTTGTTGGAAGAGGTTTCTTTGTCTAGACCCTTCCCCAGGTACTTTCCAGGTAGCATTGGTACATACTCACTGTGGTCACTTTGTCCTAAGGGTGAGCTCTGAAAAGGATTTGGTAGAGAGAAGTAGGAGCTCCAACTTTTGGAGGAAGAGCCGCCCTGAGGGTTTCGCGGGTTTTTGGGAATTGCACCTGCTCCTGGAGCCATAAACATGTAGTCACTGTCACTGTCATTGTCCTTTGAGTCATCCTCTTTATTAGGATCATCAGGTGCTCTTGGAGGACTTGGGGCAGGCGGTGGGCTCACTCTGGGAAACATCATCATGTATCCTCGTGAATCCTCAAAAGGTGATCTAGAATGGCGCTTTTTTGAAGCAGAGACATTTTGAGGAGCCATTGGCATATAATCGCTGGAACTTGCGAGAGGAGCAGCCACCCCTGGCCTCATTGGAACGTATGGGTCATCTTCATCCTCATCAAAAGCTCTGGGTCTGTAGGGTGCCCGAGCTGCACCTTCTGGGGTCTCTGTATCTCTTGTTTCCTTGACTTCCTTGCGTTCTTTTGTGGCCCCTCTGTCAGCACAAAAATAAAGTCGGAATCTTCCCCCAGATTTCCCTTTCCCACCAGTTGCTCCAGCTGGTGGGGGAGGCGGGGGTGGAGGTGGGGGTGGAGGCAACATTTGCTGTTGCTTGCTTTGAGTTAATTTGCCAAAATAGGACCTTTTCTTGAGAGATTTTCCACGATCATCATCACCATCTGAGCTTTTTCCACTTCCAGAGCCTTTGCCCCCTCCAGAGTTCTTGCCACTGCCTGAGCCATGCCCATCTCTCGGTCCCTGGCCACCTCCTGAGCCATGGCCACCTCCAGATCCCTGGCTGCCGCCTGAGCCCTGGCCACCTGCAGTGCCCTGACCCTCTCCTGAACACTGGTTTCCTCCGGAGCCCTGGCCACCTCCAGATCCCTGGCCACCACTTGAGCCATGGCCTCCTCCAGATCCCTGCCTCCCTCCTGCGCACTGGTTTCCTCCAGAACTCTGGCTACTGGAGCCTTGGCCACTTGAGCCTTGGCCACCTCCTGAGCCCCGGCCATTTCCTGAGCCCCAATTGTTCATTGGCATGTAGTCGCCTTCACTTCCTTCCTCTTTATCTTTGCCTCGAGGTTTGTTTTTCCCCCCAGAGTTGCCCGAGCCGGAGGCTTCACCAGCTTCATCACCTGGGGTTTCGTCAGGGTGCAGGTCACGTACCGGACTGGGTTCTAAGCGGCGGAAAAAGCTGGCTGGCACTGAGATGGCTCTCCTGGACCTGCGCGCTCTGGGCAGGTGCTGCCTTCCTCGCCTGGAGGGAGGCGCGGGCTCGCTGGGTGTTATGAGGCGCCTGGTAAAGACCGTCTCCTCTTCCCCGTCACCAATGGCCCTGAGGTGGTAAAACTGTTCAAAACGGGACCTTCGGAGCCAGCCTCCGGGCTCGAGCGGCAGCAAGCCCAGGTGCCTCCTAGCGGACAGCAGGGTTAACAGGTGGGCGCCAATACTGATGCTGTAGCTGCGGCAGCGGGCTCTGTATTCGTCTGCACACAAAGCTCTCATCTTCTCCAGAAACAGCTCATGCATGTTTTGGGCCACCACACAGTCATCGACCTGCATCCACAGCTCCCCCGGACCGATGACGGTGGACCTGCCGACTTCTAAGAAGAAATACTGCTCCGAGTGTCCGCAGCGACGGATGCTCAGGAGCTGGACGACCACGCTGGCCACGTCGGTGTTCAGCCTCACAAACACCACCTCTTCGTCGGTAAGACACAGCCGGAACACGCCGCTCAGCTCTTTTCTGTGCCCCAGCCCCCTGGGTTTCACTACTACCTGCCACACATCTTTGTAGAATGGTGGCTCCGCCGCCGCTACCGCCGCCAGCGGGGCCGGCTCTCCATCCGGCTGCGCGCTGAGCGTGCCGCAGCGGCGGCGCTTGCTCTCGAGGATGAGGCGGCTGAGCAGCAAGTACCAGCTTTCTTGCTCCGACTCGTTTTCGGCCACCATGGCGAAGTACTCGTCTTGGGTGAAAAGGGCAATGAGGTGACGGTATCTGGCATCAGCTCGCTGGCTCACCGAGAAGCACTGGTACAGGGTGATCACGCGCCGCGGTGGGATGAGCGCGGGCACCGCCGCACCCGAGGCAGCGGCCGCTGCTGCAGCCGCCGCGGCGCGGACACTGTGCCTGAACTTCCTGGCATTTTCGTAGTATTCCAGCCGAGCTGGGGCATCGGCGGTCTCGAGTTTGAGGACGAAGTAACGCCGGTGCCCATGCTTCTGCTTCCGCAGGTAGCCGCGTTTGCAGACTTCGTCCCCGACGGGGAGGTCCTCTTCCTCCGACTCCGAGTCTGACCGGGAACCAGTGGCTGGAGAGAGCCACATGGCTCCCGGACAAGATGACCCGGTCCCAATGAGTGCGGTTGGGGTTCCGGACGAAAGAACCGGGGTGGTCGCCACTGCTGCTAGAGCTGCCGCTGTCGCCGCTGCTGCAGCTCTCAGTCTCCTTGTCGCTTGGTCGCGAGTGAACGAGCAACTCGCCATGGTGATGCACGGTGGTTTTAAGGTGAGCGAGGGAGGTGGGGGGGGGGTGCTCAGGGAAGGGAGGGCTGGGGGGAAGAGGCTGTCTACCCCTGTTCGCCCGCCCGCTCCAGCCCCCTCCTGCCTGAGTTGGCGCCCCCGCCCACTTCAGTCTGGGCGCGCGGCAGCGGGCAAAACAACACGTGACCGCCACCTCACGCGGCGATCGCTGCGGATTCTTCAACAGGAGCAGTGGAGGGGCTGAGCGGCCACCAGTAGAGGTGTGCGAGGGAGGGGGCGGTGGGCCCAGGAGGCGGAGCCCACTCCAGCTGAGCCCAGACCCGCCGGGTAAAATCTCTGAGCTTGTGCTACAGAGTGGGAGGGGTGGAGGCGTGGATTCAGAGAGGACAAGGCGGGGCTCTCTGGCCATGTTATGCTAAATAGGAGCCTAAAAAAGCGGGAGGGGTTGGAAGAAAACCGGGTGGGGTAGGGGTTTCAGTGACCAACAATCTGGACTGGGCTGGGCGCGAGCACAATAAGTAGGCTCCATTGGCTGGAAGGAGCCAGTGGAGGCGGGAGGGGGCGGAGCGCCATAGGCGACCAGAACGTAGCCAACGGCACAGACGCTGTGCGGTTTGTTTGTTTATTTGAGAAGCGGGAGCCAGGTGAAACTGTTGCAAGTCTCTCATTGGCTATAAGAACCGAAGGGAGGGCCCAGCAAAAAGGCGGGCCTGAATTCATTCGTTTGGCGCTAGGTGGGGAGGAACGAGGGGCCAGGGTAGGGGACTAGCTGTCGGTGCCCACCTTCCACACACACACACACACACAAACACACACACACACACACACACACACACACACACACACACACACACACCGCAGTGTGGTTATTCCGCGTTCAGCCTGTAAACAACACTCTGCGAGTAGCTGTTAATCGTGGTGATAAACGCGTGCAAATCTCAAAGCCACAGTGACCTCTCTGTGGGCGCCCTCTCTTTTTTTCCCAGTTGCTCATATACATTCTTTATTCCTATGGCAGTCTGGTTCACTCCCTCCCACTGCACGCGGCGGGATGTACTGCTCCAGAAAAAGTGTCAGCTATCCCTGGAAATGTGCTAACAACCCGGGCCCTCAGACCTGCTGCCCACCATGCTGGACAGGCTCCCGAGTCTGCTCCACCCCTGACAAAAGCCAGCGATTCTAACACACAGGAATAGCCGCCAGGTCTTCAAAAGGAACGCAATGTCTAAACACAGCGTATGTGTAGTTCACGAAACCCACTTCGCTAAAGATAGTGTTTCTGTCTATTTGGTTAATGATGACTATGAAAACAAATTGGGGGTCCACAAGGTGTACAACCTTGTGGGAAAAATTTCGGACTTGATTCTTAAGGAAAAATACAAGTGTCGAACTATCGTAATATTTTTTTTTCCTGGGAAATGCTTTGAAAGATGCCTTAAAAAAAATCTCAAAACGTTGTTTCTTTTTCTTGAATGAGATCGAAAAACTTTATAAAAACAAAAGCTCCATACCTAGAACAAAGGACTGTATCGAATACATGTACTACACTATACTTCGCATCCCTCGCGTCAAGAAAAGAAGATCTTTGTTACATTTCAGTCTACAAGTTAACATCAAAAAATAAAGAACCACTGCTCCCTTGTTTCTGGAAAATCTACTGGAGTGTAAGTGCAACCGCCGACGCTTGTTCTCTCAAGAGCTCGCTTGCTCTTTCTCTCCCTCCCTCTTTGCCTTCCCCTCTGTCTATAAGATTTCAGACTCTTAAGGATGGAGATAGTCAGGAATACATTGAAGTGTCAAAGCAATGGTCACATTTTTAAAAGGGAAAGAACGAAGCATATAGTATTTCTTTCCTAAGGAATGTAACGTTAGATCATTCTTGCCCTAGGGGAGATAGTGCATACGGTAACATATTTTAAGTCTAACAAACTAGGCAATGTATGAACCACAAAAATAGACCCCATCTTTACTCTCAAAGCATGCATACTCTGTTTTATAAACAGAACAAACATTTTTCAATTGATGCCACCGTTTCCATGTGCTTATTGGGAATCAAAATATATTGGGTTCAGTAGTCCCAAAATATTAGAAACAAATATTAGCATTTCCTTTGCTGCTAGTTGCTTATGAACCAAATGTATGCACAAATGCTCCGATGTAACTGGGGTTTCTGAAAGGACCTGGAGTTATAATGTCCGTGGATGGACTGAGGCTGCTTACCTAGATGTTTCAGCTCTCTAGTCATGGAAAGATTACAACCAAAATGATAGTGAATGCTCTCATTTGGACTTTTTGTGATAGACATGATATTTTGTGTCCTTCTAAACACAAAGTTTTGATTTTCATGGATAGCTGAAAACAAAGCAATGCATTTGAAAATACTAGGATTGAAACAGTGACATTTAAAAATATATTGAAAATTGTAAAATACATATGAAATAACATAGAATGTGTGAAAAACATTTTTAATCTTCATTTAATATTTTCCACCTACATATATAGAATCTAACATACAGTAGTATGCTTGCAGGTACGTGATTTTTGCATTCTGTTATATTCACCTAGCATTACATGATAAACATTTCCCATATTACTATGGATGAAACATCATTTAAAATGTAGCACACTAGTCCACGAGGTTGTTATATTATTAATATTATCAGTTCTAATGTATATTAATATACTTAATCATTTCTCCATTTTAGGAATATGTAAGTTGTTTTCATTTTTCAGTATTATAAAGAACACTGAAATAAATATCTTTTATCTACAGATTTCAAAAATGTTTAAATTATTCCTTTAGGGTCAAAAATTGAGGACCGGAATTGCTAGACATAAAGGAATAAGTATTACAGTACATTATTTTTTCATGTTATAACAGTTTAGCCTGTGACCACACTGATTACCAGAACTGGATATTTCTTTTAAATCTCATGCTCTCCACTATTCATTTTCATTTTTGTTTACTTGTAATGTAAAACATTTCTTTGTAGATTTATTGACAATATATTGCTATTTTCTCCAAAGTGTCTTTTCATGTCCTTTTACTTATCTGATTGTTAGTGGTTTTTCTTAAGTATGTGTGGATTGTTTGCATAATAAAAATAATAAAATTCTGTGATGTACGTTTTCTTTTTGTCATTTGTTGAATCCTTAAAAATCACATTTAAGCTTGATTCTCTTTATTCTGAAAGATGTATAAGTTTATTTCAGTATGGTTTGTAGTTTAAAAGAGAGTTATTGATACACACAAATCTCATCATGATCACTTCTGTGCTTATGTTTTGTGCTTCTGTGCTTATTTAAAGAAAGAGCTAAAGAGAATATCTAACTTGTTAATTATTAGGCATCACTTAAAAATAATTCGTGACATTATTTTCTACTGCATGGGGAAAACTTAGGACAAATCAGTGTACTAAAAAGTAAATGTAGAAATAATTTTAATAGTGCTGATCATTTTGTATCCAAGATATATTGTTATATTACAAAGTATCCTATTTGATAAGAACAAAGTGAAATGAGACATCCAGTGGGATGTTTCATTTGGGGGTTTTATTTAGTATGTTTTCAACAATGACAATGGATCTGATGAGAGTGAATTCAGTAATTAGGGAGAATATCTGACTAGAAGGGCATTATTTTCTTTCCTTAGGTCAACCAAACCTTCCCTGTTCTATAATTGTTCCAACACAAGCTTTTAGGAGACAGCATCATTACTGAATTGCACCAGATGCTGCACCTTGTCTGACATATATTTAAACTTTCATCTTTCTGGACAAGTTAATGATATAGAATAGTTCCTTAGCTTAAGTCAGGTTTCTATAGGTAAAATAAAGCAAAGGGGTGGTACAGACATCTCAGTGTTTCAGGCAAAAAGTAGAGACTGCTTGGCCTGAATTCACCAGATGGTTTTGCTCGTGTTCTTCTATCCTTCAGCTATAGATTATTGTCTCTTAATATTTTTGCTTTTATATTTAGGACAAGATTCACTAGAAAGGTAAAATATCTTTGCATATTCAGATACAATGCCTGCAATTTTGGACTGCTTTGTCACATTAAAAAACTGATAAAATGTAATAAAACCCACAATATTTATTTTAGTTTGTGAGTTTAGCTGGGAAAAATGTAGCACTGCAGTTGTTATTTTATATTTAGAAGCTAAGGTAAACAGATAAACAGCCATGGTGTTTTTTGAAACAGATTCTGTCTAATAAAGAAATATGCTTTTTATGGGGTTTGCCTTTAAAAGGAATTTCCTGTGAATCCTGTTTTAAGAAAGCAATTGTTTGACTAGTCAGTAATAATAAAAACGTATTGCTTTTTTTCCCCTGATGGACATGGTCATTAGTATTCTAAACTCAACTTACACTAAATTCAGTATGGATATTGAAATATGAATTTACTTACCTTAAAATTTAAACTGTTATTACATTAAATATGGACAATTCCAAGAGACATTATTCAAAAGAATAAAGCCTAAGACGAAAAGTAACCAATATAAAAGAACTATTATTCTTGCCAGATGTAAAATTAGCCTGTAAGTATTAACTATAATCTTTCTGAGCTAATGTTCAATTATGTACATCAAAATGTAGTCTTCCTCTTGATATTCAGAAATGAAGCTAGTGATGATGATGGCTTTCTCTATGTTTGGACATAAATAAAGTCATGCACAATCAACATGCTTTCTATGCTATGCAGGAATCAGGCTGTTCTGTGATTTGTAGATGCAGCCACAGTTTACAGATGATGGCTCTGCTTCTCAGCTTTTTTACATCTGTGCTACTCAAAACCTTGTCTGGAGAAAACTACAGTCAAATGCGTGGCTACAACAGACATGAGCAGGTTTGCTGCTTTTCTTTTCCAGCAGTCTGAGACTAAAGTAATTAGAGCAAATACGTGGTTTCATTAGGCTTCTAAAGCTTCTCTGAAGATTAAGTTCATTGAAAATCTAGCATTCCTTCCTGCCTTCAAAAGATAAAAGTTTCACTTGAAAAACACTT